TCCTCTGCTCTACTCTAGCCATCCCCGTACTCGGCCAACTTAAAAGACAGTGGCTGACATATGAGCCATTGTATAACCCGTTCTGGGTCCCAGCTGCAGATGTACTTTCCGGAACTTTGCACATCTTTTGAGGGTCGTTCGCAACCCCCTCGACTGTGCAACTTTCACCTCTTGCCGTTGAATTTTTCATTGCCTCCTAATTTTGACTTCATGCTCATCCTTGGAGCACCTCCACTCCCAAGAAGAATCACATCAACTACAAAGTACCTTCTTAGTGCACATATGCACAGCGAAAAGGGAGAAAAGTGGGCGTTTCCCTCTAGCTCTCTTCAGGAGCTAACCTCCTCCTTCCCGCATACGGCGCTTATGAATTTTCTCCCCAACACTTCATCGGATTTATATGCCTCGATGTAAATCCTATGCAAATACCCCCCTTAAGTTTGGTATGCATCCCATATGGGGTGAGAGAGTCAATCTTCATTACATCTACCCCCATCGTCTGCCCCATGATTTCATCGGAAGAATATCTTCATTCGGACTGGACCTTCATGGGAATCGCTCTCTAGTTTGTTTTTCCAGATTACTTACTACATAACGACATTCGTTCTAACTTATTTACCAGTTTGTCGTCCATAGTTAAAGCTTGCTTTGAAGTATTTTCGCTTGTTCGAAGGAGTGTTTCGATTTCAAACCCAACTCACATCTTTGCTCGTAACGTTCGTCCATCGTATTCCTCGGCACTTCGCCCGTGGTCTTGAAATTGAATCTCGTCGGCCAGCATTAACACCTTTGCTTCAAGGTACTAGTAAGACGATTACTTTGAGTAACCTCACGTTCCTTATCCATCCTTCTTCGTGGATTCACTGATGTGCTCTTTCCCAGGGTGACTGGAGCACTGGGAAGTCGTATATGACTTGTTCAGAACGATAAGGTCGTAGGAACAGCCCGGAGCGAGGCTTGGGAAGTTCCATGGGTTCTATTGTGTTCCCAATTCATCCATTTCGAAGTCTTGGCCCTTCTATCCGTTCAAGGCCATTTGTCAGAAGCTTAGATTATATAGGGCGAAAGTTGGTACGGTGACGGTGAGGGAGGTGGGGAAGGGGTGTCCAGTGGGGTCGTAATGAAGCGGCTTATTTCCACATCCCCATGACTCACCCTGCTATCAGTTGCCCTACACCTGTCAAGCCAAGGAAGATGATTGGTTTTGAAGTATGATTGATTACTCCTGTAATTGTCACAGTTGGTTTTACACTGGTTTAAACTTTTTATTGTACCTTGTAACAATCAAAAGTTTACTGCAAAGTAAATAAATGAATCCTCTCATTTCCTGTTGAGAAAGTCGAGGAAGTCGACTTTCCGAGGTTCCCTGCTAATACCACCTAATACAAGCAATTATCATTGGCTATATTCACTTACTTAATAATTCAAAATTGAGTGAACGTTTCGGGTATGGCTTGGCAATGCGCTAAACAGCTATGTGACATGATGCAGCTGGCCCAGAGGGTTTGCATTTACATGTATGGGGAAGGGAACCTCATTAATCACGGTCCCTCTAACATCTATCGAGACCGACTTCGTTATTCATAAGCACTTTCTGTTCCCCATACCGCCTCGGCTCGCCTCGCTTCGCTTCAGGGCGAATCTACCCACTTCACCCCGGTTTTCCCTGGGCTCAGCTGCCTTCCAGAGGAGAGTTTCAGCCGTTCATTATCTGTATGCACTTTGAAACCGAAACTTTTCTATGACATTATGGGGTAGCCATGTGCATTTAATGTTCGATCATTAATGCTGACTCAATGTGGCTACCAGTTTTTGCACGATTCCCCATGATTGGGTTTGGGGAAATTGTGTATGGGGGAGGGGAGGGGATGATGCACCAGCCCTTTTCGAGAGCACTTTTCACATCCGATTTTGCGACACTAATTACACGGGGTGCATCTTACAACAACCAGCTGCCTCATGGGTGCGCAAGGGTCTTGATGCCCCCCTCTCATCCGCCTTTATGGCTCATATGCGCTCATTTACACTGTCCGACCAGTCCAGAAGCAAAATCGCGTTCATCCAAACCCATAGCGCCATTGCCCATCGTGGTGGTGGTGGTGGTCAGAGCAGCACGGGTACCGGTTGTGGCCCCCCATCGGCTAGCTGCTTCTCAGGAAGTCATTTCTGTTTAATGAGGATATGAGGCATTCGTATTGTCCTCGAGGGCTTATTAACCACGTTCCCCCCTCCGGGTGTTGTCTTGCAACAACCCCCGGCCCAGATAGGACATTCTCACGCTGAACACAGCAATCGTGCGAAATTTCATCCCCCCCCCCCCCGTCCCGTCACCACTGGGGGGATTGCCTCCATTCTCGAATTCCGGATGTCTGTGAACACGAGAACGAAAAAATCCTCATTCTCAAACTTCTCAACTCAAGTCTCTCTTTAACGATCGCGCCATAGTCGTTGTCGTTATTCAGTTCGTCGTTCAACGGACGGGAAATCGCCACCCGGTGATGGTCCGTTGTAAAATGTGTTTATTAGTGATTCACGCACTGCTTTATTATGCAACGAACATATGTTCCGGGTGAGGGAGGCTGAGTGGAGCCAGTCAGTCAGTCACCCAGAGTCGGTCAGTCATGGGGGCTAAGATTGAGCCGTCTACAAAACTTTCAGTGACCACCATCCATACAGTGGTTAGGTTAGACAGCGCCTACTAGCCAATTGGGCCTCTTACCTACAAGTTCGTTGGGGAGTCAAATTGAAGTACCATCGAATCGTCTCAATTGAAAAACCGCCGGCGCCCCCGATAATACCTTCGTTACACATTACATAGCGTGGATTTTTTCTGACTCGTTCGCAACCTCACCCCTTCAATTGTACGTTGATCGCCTGGTGGTGGGTAAAGTAACCTGGGAAAGACAGGAAGGGATGTCCGTCACTTCTCTAATTTACACTAAGCCCTTTCTTTCTTTCTTTCTTTTCTAGACGTGACGACAGTCCTGCTATGCGTGTGTGACAGTTGTTTTCGTGTGTGATTCGTTGCTTTGTCCGATTCCAATTAATCGTGTTGACCGTTTATTTCACCCGTACCCCTCGTCGTCATCAGGGCCAGTGAACATTTGTCGTCGTGGCCGTGGTCGTGGTCCGATGGCCATGTACCAAGCCAACACCTCCTCATAGTCATTCATCTCGTCATTCACGAGTTTTGTGAGTTCAAACCAGTTCCCACGTCTCTCACGCGCGCGCGCCCGTTCACGATCCCCTCTGCGGGGGATACATGGGTTGTATTGTATGTGCCGATGGCGATTGTTGCAGCTAATTGCCTACTAGTTCTTCACATTAGCTCTTCCACAGCTTAATCGTAGTCATTAGGTCCTTTTTGATCCCACATGGTCGATAGGTTCTATGGTGGGGACGCGGGCAGGTTCCATGGGTGCCGTGGGTGCCCTAGGTGCCACTGATCTACCCACCCTAATTGATCTCTTGGCGCCTATTTTGCTCACCTACTCGGGTGAAAACTTCCTAACTGGTTTCTTCCCTGCTCTTTCATTGCGCTTATTACTGTTAGCGACTGTCATCGACTGTCTGTGTGTGGGTGTCATTGAACTCATCACCATTATCAGTGTGATCAGAAGTGACGCTGAAGAGGTTATTTCTCCCACAGAATCTTCCCACTCACGTTCCTTTTCGTCTTTTCGTTATTGTCGGTACGGTTACGGTTGTTTGTTGTGAATGACGATGTGCGAATAATCCTTTGATTACTACACTCTTCTGACCTCCGCCATTACTCCTACTGTGATCCTTGATCGGCGGCTGATGACCGGGTGGGGTCTAGCCGATCTGGGAGAGATTTTGAAGATGTTAGAGCTCTGGGAAGACCGAGGGGGTACTTGGAAGTGAATCG